AAGAAGTAGGAATGTATTTAAATAAGCTCCCCAGCTAATTCTTAACCACAGACAGTTTGGGAATCTAATATACAGAGTATGTATATTGATGATAGAAGAAGAAAAAAAGCTAAAACCTCTTTGTAAAGGACAAATGGATTATGTCAGTCCTTTGAGTTCCTGGATCTTCCTGTGTGTTGTTTGTTGTTTATGGTTTTTTGGCAAAGAAGAATTAGGTGGTGCATGTGTGTGTGGTGGGTGTGTGAGAGAGACAGAGAGGGAAGGGGGGCAGTCAGGGGAAATGAGGGAAGTTAGTGGAGTTCTAGCTCTGGGGCATTAGGAACTGTGAGAACCTTACTGCCTAGCATCTAGTCTCCAGTCTCCAGACAGTTAATATTTCTGTTTTTGTTTTCATGGAACTGTACTGTTATATTTACAATGTGAGATTTTGATTATAGTACTCTCTTACCAGAAAGAAAATCCTTATTTGGGTGTATGAAATCATTTCTAGAAAGTACAAGATTTAATGTATATTCACTCTTTCAGCCAGGCCACATTTTCTTCAGGGATCTGCTTCATTCTTACTGCTCTTTTTCTGGAATCTAGCTCCCAGGCTGTCCTTGCTTGCTCCCTGCAGGAGTGGGCATCAGCGGGCTGCAGACATAGACTGTTGTCCATTTTCTGCTTGTAACTTTCTTTTTTAATTTGAGTATTTCACACTGGTTGACATGTGACCTTGTGTGGTCCCAGGGGTGTCGCCCATTGGTGGTGAACCTCCCCTCGTTTCCCTTACCCATTTTGTTCAGTCTTCTCTGACTTCTGGGATTGAGGAGCTGAGTTTGTAAGTCAGCTCCATCACATCAAAGGAAAATAAAATAAGAGAAAGGGCTTATGGTCTGATAAGTATTTTTATTAAAAAATGGTGAAGATGCTTTTCAGTTTTCTGCCACAACCCTTTTTCTCCTCCTACAGTGAAAAAAAGAGTCCTCTTTGTGGAACAGAAAAAAATACGCTCCCTCTAAACAATGGATTGAAATGAATTTGATTAATAAATGAGAAGACTGAGGGCGGGATACTGATTCAGAAATTCTGCAGCATGTAATAAAAGAAGAGGAAATGGCACGGAATCACTGCCTCCTGTGATTTGAAGGCCATTGTGAAAGGAACAATGCAGTGAAAGAAAGTTCTTCATATTAGGACATATTATTGCATCACATTTATTTATCTTTCTGGATATTTTTATAGCCCTTAATAAAAAACATTAAAATAGCCTATGCCATTGTCTGTTAGTGATGTTTTCCCCCACTCCTTGAAAAAAAAAATGACTACATTACTAAAAAATAACCATTGTCTCATAGAGTTAATGAAAACTTTCCATAATAAGACTTGTGCAAGAGTTTCCAGTCTGTTCCGTCTGGTACTTCATAGAAAAGGCAGAGTCACACTCCAGAGTGCTCTTGAAA